TAAGTCCTCAAACAGGTAGGTTATTTGGGGTTGAGGTAAGCCCTACATCCCAAACATAAAAACCACCGAAAGGGTTTGTTTAGTTAACACCGAACTGCTGAGGCTTCTGAGCCTCCGTCGGCCGAAGTTGGGCGAGGTGGGGCAATGTGTGGAATATAGAAACTTAGGATTTCGGTCATTTAGAGGATCTAGGGTCTAGGTAATTTAGGGATTTTGGGGCTTCGGGACTTTGGGGGCATTGAGGGGTTCGGAGGGTTTCGGGGTTGAGGGCCTTGGGAATTGATGGCCTCAGGCTTCAGGTTGTGCTTGTTTCTGCCTAGCGGCTTTGGCGCGCCGCAGCCGAAGCACTCCCCGACAAGTGAGTCCGGCCGTCCTTCCCTGTGGTGTTCTCTTCTCAAGCACAGTTGGCTCAATGCACGTGGGGTAGGGCCACTTCGAGACTTGACACTTGACCATGGCAGAGCGCGAGGCCACAAACTCGCCCTCCCGAGCCTTCACCGTGCAGAAATCCGGGCGGGATGATTTTCCAGCTGGCGCACAGGCATCCGTTTTGCCGACGATGCCCGGTGCCAGCATCCAGCGGGTGAACTGTCTGGACGAGCATGAGTTTCGAAAGCTCGCGCGCTTCTGCCGTGATTCCAGTGAGGAGAGCGATGGCCTTCCCGTGGACCACGTCTGGGGAATGGTGCCATCCACCGAAGGACGGCCCAAGCAGACACTGCTTCGTGGCTCCTCGGCAAAGCTGGATCGTGCACGACTTAGTCGGGTGCGTTCTGTGAAGGGTCTGCCGGGGGTGTAGAGTGGGTTCAGCAACCCAGGATTGCTTCTCCCGCAGCCCGACAAGGACGACCTGCAGCCACGAAGCAAAAGCCGTGTGCGGGAGAAGGCCTGGCTTGCTTTTTCTTGATGCTTGAGTTCGGGTCTCTGTCTTGTATTCAGGGATGAGACAGTGGCTGTATACCGTCTTTAATGAACTTTAATGTGTTCTTGTGGAGCCGCCCTAACATGTCTGCAGGTGTGTGGGATGTGGGTTTGGGCTGCATCGCGGCTGCGTGGAAAGAAGGGAAGTAAAGTCGAGTCCGTGCCATGAGACGGGCGTGTTTCAAGTGAGTCGTTCGAGGTCGTTCGATTCTTTCCATGGCCACGAAATAGGCTTTTCTGCCATTTGGCGGAATGTCGGTCTTCTGGTGGAGCAGCAGGACAGCAAGTTCAAGTAGAATCCAAAAGGTTGGAACTCACTGGCCCCCCAACACCGAAATTGGAAGATACGGACAGCCAGCATCAATGGCCCCGCTCTCATGTTCCAACTTTTGGCTTCTACTCGTGATTGGCCGTTGGAGCAGTGAAGCATCCTTGGTCAGCGACAAAGTCGCTGATTTTGCCAAGGCTTTTGCGTCGTATGATCCAAATGACCCGAGTGGTGCTGGAACAGCCTTGACTTCCGCTCGGATTTTTAATGACGGGCTTTCAAATGAATATTCTGCGCAGGAAGAGGAGGAAAGTGTGCGTTTTCTGGCTTTCATGAAGCATAATCGGGTCGTGACCGGCAAGTTTCCACCAACCCTCCCTAGACAGAACACCAAACACACTATGCCGACAGCTCTAAAACTCTAGAACCCTAGACCCTCACCCCTGAACTCTAAACCCTAAACCCTAAACCCTAGACCCTCACTCCTGAACTCAATTTTGCCGTGAAGCCCCAGAAGGCTGCCGCGTCGTTGCTGCAAGAGCTCGCCGGGCCGGGGGTCACCGAGCAGGCCTCCTGAAGATGATGGTCTAATATGGGGCTATCGGGGCTTTAATAATTAGAATAGGTTTTGGGGGCCCATTATACTATAAGATGAGGGTCGAATATAGGGCTATAGGGGCCTTAATAATTAGAAAAGGTTTTGGGGGCCCATTATAAGATGATGGTCGAATATAGGGGCCTTTCTAATTCGAATAGGGTTTGGGGCCCATTATACTATAAATATAAATAGGCAGCCACCAAAATAGTATAGGTAATTATCTAGACCCCTACATTAGGGCCTTTCTTTAAAGCGTTTGGGGCTAAGGGAGCGGTGAAAGGGGTGTTGGGTTTCGGGCTTCGGGCTTGGAGTAGCAAGGGGTTCATAATTTTCGTCATTTGCCGCCATCGCTATGGTTCGTATGCTTCTGATGATTGGAAACCCAAGTGATGATAATGCCATCATATTCTCAGGAATGGGGTTCTTAGTTTGAGATTTACAGTTGTCGCAACGTCTGTTCAATGTGTTTCGTTTGCAGCCTACGATGTTGATAGAACTCAGAAGCTGTTCGGAATCCGGGTTTTGTGGGTGTTGCCGCAATCTTCTATTCCTTGCGTGTCGGGTTGCCCCACACAGCGGAGGAGACCCGTTCAGCTTCGTTGATTCTAGAACAGACGGGCTGATAGTATGAATTTCCACGTTCAGGAACGATGATGGTGAGATTCGAAGCCGTCATAGCATTCTCACCAAGAGAGTGGGTTAAGTCGGATAGTGCTAATCTGGAGACCGTTCCTGTTCACGACAGGAGCAGCATTGGCGATGCGCGATAGTGATCATACCTTGCACCCGATGGCCTGAACCCCACCCGTTGTCAGCTTAGGGTTTAGGGTTTAGGGTTTAGGGTTTAGGGTTTAGGGTTTAGGGTTTAGGGTTTTTCAATCATATCTGAGTTCTTCCTTGGTACGCCTGCCAGGCTGAAGAGGAGATCGCCGTTGTGCTGTCTCGCAGCTTGGATTGGGGCATCGGGTTCAGGGTTTAGGGCTGCTACCAATGCGAAGAATGCTGAGATTGGGCTGAGGGGGTTTAGGGCTTGGAATTGGGGGAGAAAGTATTGCGGGGTTTAGGTTTAGGATTCGGGACTGTGGGCTTTGGCAGGGTTGGGGACTTGTGCCTTTGAATTCCGCACTTTATTCTTTTTGGCAACCTTCAGCATACGTCGTTAGTTCTGCAGACTCTGAAAAACTAACATGGACGTTCCACAAACAGGAGACTGCCAATGTAGACCGAATCGGGTTTAGTAAAGCAAAACACGCGTCCTTTTAATTGCACATTGTTTTTGCTTTATTAAACCCACCCGTTCCACCCGTGATGCGATGTTCAAGATTAAAGCGTGAACGAAGTGAGTGAGTGGCGTATTCCTTAGTCTTTGTTCACCTAATTCTCTCAGTAACTCCTCTTTTTTTTTATGTGTCGTGAGGAAAAAGAGCTGGTTTACTGAGAGAAAAACAAGCGAGAGAAACGAATGCGTGGTCTATCTCCTAAAACACCTTGACCCAAGACTAAGCCCGACCCCTGAACCAGACACCCTTAAACCCGAAGCCCTGAGCCCTATCCCAAACCGCACTTTAAGCACCAGTCTACACTTAAATCCTAAACTTCTCAACCTGAGGAACCCAAATCGTAACACCGTCTAATGCCTCTAGTCCACTAGCCTGCTAGTGGCTGAGGCTGTGTTGCCGACGTGCGACGGCTTCGTCTGGAGCCACCAGGTCCGCGACCTTTTTTAAAACTAATGTGTTATTTCTATTCTCTTCCCTCGTTCCTCCAAAACCCACCGCAATTTCGTATATATATATATATATATATATCTATATATATACATACACGCATATGCATGGACATATGAATGTATGGATGTACGTATGTATGTGTGTATGTATATATATATATATATATTTGTTTATGGGCTTGTCCGAGTTCTGGTTTAGGGGCTCAGGCGTACTATGGTTCAAGGTTCAAGGAGCCGTGTTGCGCAGGTTCGTGTCTTCGGGAAGGGGCCTAGCGGCAGAGAGTCGTCATGCGTAAGCAGATGGGAGAGGAACCTTGCAAGACGATAATGATATGGAAGCCTGCGTAATCACTATCAATATACCCTTTTGGTCTACCGCCACTGCTACCATAACGCACTGTTATTTGCACTACTACTCCTCCCGCTCCTGCTGCGACCACTACCATCACCACTAGCACTTCCGCTATACCCTTTTGGTCTACCGCCACTGCTACCATAACGCACTGTTATTTGCACTACTACTCCTCCCGCTCCTGCTGCGACCACTACCATCACCACTAGCACTTCCGCTACCGCTACCGCTACCACTACCACGACCACGACCACCACTACCACTACCGCCACCGCCACCACCACCGCCACCACCACCACCATCACCACGACCACCACTGCTGCTACTGCTGCTACTACTACTACTACTGCTGCTACTACTACTACTACTACTACCACTACCGCTACCGCTACTACCACTACTACCACTACTACCACTACTAACACTACTACCACTACCAC